ATATCAGACACAGCGTAGTTTACCAACTCTAAACCTAACAGCAACCAAGAGAATAGTGCTGAAGTGCTTTGAGATCCTCTGTTGAAATGTGCTGAAGAAAGGCAAAGGGCTGTACCTGTTCAGCCATTACTGCTTCTTATTTCTTTAAAGTAAACTCGTCACTATTGCAGGAGTAATTAACTGTACAACGATTAGTGTTCCTGAGGTATGTTCCTGGCTACCCCACGTTGTGTATGGGTTGCAACATTCAGAAGGAAACTGAATTTATGGGATTTTTGAGGATGGCTCCTGAAGGATGCATGTTAGCTCCGTTGCTGTGGAGATCACAGGTAGATGAAAGGTTCCTCAGCGCAGCACTGCTTCCTGTCCTCGGCCAGCAGAGAAAGCAGGTGTTGATACTTTATTGTCTCCCACTCAGCTCTGGCTAATGAACAGTGTGATATCTAGACAGCTAGGTAGAAGAAAAGCCTATGACACAGCTCCTGATTAAAGTGTAAGCTAATGTCTTAAAGGTTGAGGATGGAATAAACAGCTCATAAGGCAAGTGTCATGGTTACGTATAGGCGAATCTGAGTGTATCCTGTGTATGTTTTGTATTAACTCTGGAAAGGTGCAGTGTTAATGTAGCTGTCCTGCTAGATTATAACTGGGTCTGTCTGCACGTGTCCATGTGGATTGCCTGTGAGTTAATAGCATGCTCTGAAATCTTCACATGCTACTGAAGTCGTGTTGTAACCTCAAAGAGAAGAGATACTTTGAAAACAAGGACTAGGAGGGAAGAAAGAGAGAGTTTTAAATCTTTTTAATTGTTTCCTTCTGAACTGAGAAATCCGAAAATTCAAATGACGTTGCCTAGTACTAAAAAAAGACATTATTTCAGCTGACAGCGCAGCATCTCTCTTTACCAGTTTTGTCTAGCCAAATTGTAAACCCTGGAGTTTTCTTTTTCTCATTTTGAACAGATTTTCACAACCCCCACCCTGCCGAACAATCTTGCTAGGCAGCTGCAGCCTTTATATTCTGCTACAGTGCAGAATTATGCATGAACCAGCAGAAGGAGCTCCAAGTCTGGTCATTGGTGTATAGCTGATTTCTTACGCCTTGGAAAGGCAGAGCAGCAGCTGTGTCTAGAAATCATTACTTACCTATCGATTCTTTCCCTTTGCGCTTTGAATTCTGTTCACCAAGCAGCCCAGAATTGCATTGGAAAAGAGCTTTGCTCATTTCTTTCTGTTGAATTGCAGTGGAGTTACGGCTTTGCATATTAAAAAAAAAAAATTCCTCAAGAGACAATTTTGCACAATGGACCTGAGTTCTGATGAGGAAGCAAACCACTTCAGAGCAGAATAGAAAAATACCAACCTGTCATTCTTTTTCCTGAATTGCTCTTTCCCAGGATTTGAAGATGTGCAGATTAGGTGAATTTCCCTAACCCGCACAATTTCTGTGTTCCACCTTGTCAAGAACGTGGGTATGTCCAAATAAAAAAGTCATTCTTGGGGCACCTCAAGCTATTGCAAGGTGCCATATCACAGTTTCACAAGAAAATGTATTCTTTTGGAATTATCAGCCTGACTTGCCAGAGCACAAATGTTTTTATTTGCATGCCCACAAACACACGGTAATTTTGCATGCCATTGAGATCCGCAGTTTGATCATTTAGGCCATGGAAGCTATTTGATAAATATGACAAATATGGAAACCTTTGGCTGCTTGTACAAGTAAAACCAGCCAGGACCTTTTGACATTCATCCATCTTAGATGTCAGTGCCAATAGCCTAGATCCTTAAGCAGGGCCACACATATAACTTTGAGAATATTGGGTCTGAGCTGCTTTACTGAGGCAAGTGGCAGTGTGTGCATGGGTATGTTTCAAGCAAGGATATTTTTCAGGAGTTTGGACCAAAAAGGCTATTTTGGGAAAGAACTGAATGGGGTTTGCTAGTGATCTGGCCGGGGGGAGTCTGCCTTTTTCTCTTTTGGAGAAGACAGACTATGGATTACAATCCTTGCAGTGTAACTCCATCAATGTCAGTGGACTTCAGCCAGACTGTCCTTTCTCTACTTCTTCAGCCTTCCAAGTGCATAATATTTTGCTGATCCAGGAGTTTTCTTATCATTTCTGTACTGTGATTAAAATACATTAGTTCACCCTCCACAAATTGGTTTAGAGACAATAAAGAGCTCAGCCCAGCTCATCGCAAGGCTGACTGCTACTCTGCAGCCACAGGGTGCAAAAGCCATTGGGCCATGTCATTAAAGCAATGTGGTTTTAAGGTCTTCCAAAGCTAGAAACAACTGCCCAGTGTCCCTTAGTAGCAGCTTTAGATTCACAGCTCTGTTGTGTTGTAGAACATTAGTTAATAATCTTAGTGGCACAAGGACTATTTGCCTTTGAAGTAATTCCTGGTCCATTGGGTCAGTCAAAGATCAAAACCACTTACCAGACAGCAGAAGATATATTCCGCAACTCTAGCTGTGTAAAGGACCTGTACCAGATCCTAACCCTCCCACAGATCCTAAAATTCTTCACCGGTCTCTGCTGGGAAAAGTGGCCAAGGCATAAAGGGGGGTGGTGGCCTCCAGGAGAAGGTCTACGCTCTCGTATGGGTTCAAGGCTAGAGTTTGCTCTCCAGAGCAGACGCTGCAGTTGGCTGCACTGCCCACATGCTGACCTGCCTTCCAGCAAGGCTGTGAGGAGCAGGACAGTGGCACAAGAAGGGATGGAAGAGGTAGGGCAGAGATGAGCTCAAGCCATACTCTATCCTTATGGGGCATCACTGTTTTAAATCACATAGTGTAATAAATTCAGGTTGAATTTTGGAGGTTGGGGCCTGCCAACAAGAACAGTACAGAAGTTGTCTCAGGTATCCTAGAACTGACCCTGTCCAGGTTTGACCCTGGGACAGCAAGGGCTCTGCAGACTTTCTGTGGGAGAGAGGAGCTTGGGAAAGAGTAGAAAACTTGTTGATGAGTACTCTATTCCAGCATGTAGATAGAAATGCAGAACATCTCCAGGTTGTTCTTTTCAAATAAGTTTGAAATACTAACTGTGATGAATTTGTGAAAGGTATGAATCACAGAGTCGTTTTTGTCCACCATGAGAAAGGGTCTTGGTTACTCCCTAGTGGACAGAGAGCTGCATGATTTTCTGGTATTTGCTGTAAAGAAGGAGAAATCAGTAGAGGTAGTCAAGATGATATCTCCATTTGATCTGAACCTTTTGAGGATTTTAACAACCCTTGATTGGTAAATTCTATAGCAAAGAGAAGCGAATTATTCTCTTTCCTAAAGCCATGCTAAAGCTTTAGCTTTGTATTTAAAAGAGGTCTGAATTAATAACGCGGCAACGTACAAAAGTTGTCTGATGAGCTCTGTGAGTGCATTTTGTGAGGCTTTTTCCTTTGTCTGTAAGTACCTGACTGTGTGCAGCCTTCCTGTGCCCAGGCCAGCCAGCGCTGGTCCCGCAAAGCATGTGTTTGTGTGTGGGTAGGAACTGCTAACTGAATGGAAAGAGTCGCATTTCTTTGACACACGTTGCTGTGGTACCTGGGTGCTAATCACCATATTTTGCCTTCTCTAGCACCTTCCCAGCTGAGGATCTCAAAGTGTTTTACAAACATTAATTAATTTAGCTTCACAACCCTCGTGTGAGGTAGGTGGGTGATGCCATCCCGCTTTCCAGATGAGGACACTGATCTGCTTGGGTAGAGTCGCCTCGCTCCTGCGGTTAAAACCAGGGGAGGCGATGGCCTCAAGATGGCCCTTGCGAAGCCTGCCACCCGTCACGCGGCCGGGGCTGCCCTCCCCGCAGAAGGAAGAGCAGTTCTGCATGCAGCAGAGGGGATCCAGAGATGACCAGAGCTTACAGCAACCTGCTTCAGAGCCCTGCTCCTCTCTCCTTCCTGCCCTTCTCTGGAGTTGTGGTTTCCAGCTGATCACGCTACCCTGAGGCTGAAGGAGGGGCTATCCCTCACCAGTGGTGTTGCGGGGAAGGAAATACAGAAGTAGCTATAGTACTGTTCCCTGTAGTCTGCACTTTGGTGGCAACGTGCCTCCCTCCTGTTCTGCTTCCGTCCACCCAGAGCTGCCCTTTCTACACCATCCTTTACAACAGGTTGCGTAGGTCCCAGCTTGAGGAACCTCCTCCTTTCCATGGGAAAGCTATAAGGGCAGCCTCCCCTCACCCCTTTCCGGCGCAGGAGCTGTGGTTCACGAATGTGGGAATTATGCCTCTAGAACCTCTAAGTGTAGCCTTGCCAGTCAGCCATTGGTACCAGTTTGGATTGAGCAGAATCAGCCTTTTCTGCATTGCGTGCAGCCGTTTTTGGCTGAAACCAGACTGGTAAATTTAAAACGAACCCTATGGAAAAGTCCTACAAACTTTCCAAAAGCAAATCATGACTTGCCTTTTGTGTAGGCAGAAGAGTGCTGAAGCGGTGCGGGTCCCTGCAGCGTAGTGCAGCCTCCAGAGCAGCTCTGCTCCGCTGTGGCACAGGAACTGGCACCGAGTGGTCCTCGGGGTCACGCTGCTTGGGGCTGGTCACCGGGGCATGTTGGGGCAAAACCGCTTTCCAGGCGTAGCTGGGAGGGAGGGTTAAAACGAGCTTGGAAAAAGTGAGTGTTAAATTTGCGAGCAGGCTGAATGATGTGGTTGTCTGCCTTCATCTGACCAGACTGACACTGCCTATGGCCTGGCCATGTTTGTGCCTCGTTAGGTCATGCAGGACTTTTCCATGAGGGTAGGCAAAACTCGGCCAGTACAAAAGTAATTAATATTTTCCAAATCTTCAACTTGTGGTCTAGTATAGGTAGCCTCTGAGCTGAGAGTTTAGGCAGCTGCTGCATTCCTCCATAGACCTGCCGTCTCTAGCACATCTCCCTGTTATTGGGGACCCTGGTTATTAAGTGATAAGAAGCGATAGCATGACGAAGAAAGACTATTGACCCAATTGCACTTTGACTGATCTGTTTCTTTTTCCCCCCAATCATCGATGCAGGTGTGAGCTACTCCAAGTCGGTTCCTCCAGCCTACCCACCACCCCAGGATCCATTAAATCAGGGACAATACATGGTGACAGATGGCATATCCCAGTCCCAGGTCTTCGAGTTCACCGAACCCAGACGCAGCCAGGCACCATTCTGGCAAAACTTCAGCAGGTTAACACCATTCAAAAAATAATACCTAGAGAGATGGAGAATTTTAACTTAAAAGAACTAAAATTTAAAAATAAAAATAAATAAAATTATATTTATAGATGGACCTTTTTTCGGAGAAGCACTGTTGCAACTAAGTATATATACATATATATATATATATATAAACACACATTTTAAAAATAATAATATATATACATATATGTATATATATATATAGAAGGACCAAAAACTTTTTTTGTTGTTTTTGGGAAGCAATCTGCTACTAGATACTAGGAAGCACCAATGATTTCTAACCATGTGACCTATTTTATTTTATTCCATTGGTTGGACATCTTTTTTTTTTTAATTTCTTTTCTTCTTCATTTTCATTCGAGTCGTCACTGGCATCCCAGAATGCTTTCTCGCTTGTGTGAATTCGTCATTGAAGTTCCTCATGGACTACATTGGTGTATATTTTATTTGATTTTATTTATGGGGGGGGTTGTTTGTTTTTTGGAGTGCCGGGAGGTCTCTGCTCCCTCTCCCTCCCTCTCCGTCCCTTCCGTGGCTGTTCCCGGAGTTACCATTTCAATGAAGAGCATCGACCCTTTCCCCGTCCCCGGCCTGCATTCTCTGGTCTGACTCGTGCCTGTCTGGATGTGCTCCCTTGTGCACCATGCTCTGCTGCGCAGTATTTCTCTGGCTTTAATTGTTTTGTTGTGGGCAGGTGAAAAGAAGCAGAAGGGGTATCAGCTATTTAGGAAGCAAGAGATGGGTTTTCTTTGGTTAATTTTTTGCATTTTTTTTAAAGCAGTGTCTTTTTCTCAGTTCAGTGTGATTTGTTCACACTTGGAGTAAGACTGAGAAAAGAATATCAGAGGCTTTTATTTCTTTTGCATTTAGTTTTATTTCTATGGGGTTATCTTTGATTTCTTTTCTTTTTAAGCTGAGACACGACTCTGAAAAGCCCACTCCTATCTTTGTTTTCTATGCAAAGATAAAAGCTTAAAAACTGATGGCTTCATGCCCTCCATTCCAGCTAGAGGAAAATTGGCTATTAGACTCCAACAAATGGCCAGTTTTCTTTCTTCAGGAACTAAGGTCCCATCCTGTTGGCCACACGCACGCCTGCACAGTACTGCGTTAATGAACCACCAATTGCCATTACAGGAGCAATGATCCCAAAAGTGAGGACCATGACTGCACGCACTTCCTGCTCTACTCTATTCCATAAAAGATCCCTCCTTCGCTTGGTCACTGACCTCCCAAGAAAAACATGAGCTGCCAGTAGCAACCCGTTAGCAGAAGGATCACTGCCTAAGCAATTGGAAGTATTTACCTGATATTTAATGGACCCAAGCTGCAGAGGAGTTGAGAACTGCCTTTCAGGAAAGATACAGATGTGACCTGAGAAGTTTAGCCATATGACCATGATTACGTGACCTAATCTAAATAAGTGATCAGTTTAACCTGAACGACATCAGTGGTTCAGCAGAGGTGTATCAGTGGCAGTGGGCTCTGGAGTGATTAGCTAAACTCTCCAGGTCTCTTTTCTCTCTCTTTTTCTCCCTCTGGAGATTCATAGCCCAGATTTTCAAACCTACAATTTCAGCCTTAAGTACATTTGTTTGCAAGCACAAAAGCTTATGTTTAAGCTTGTAAAACAGACCATTGTGCACTAGGATGATTTTTTTTTTTCCTAGGGCAAATGAAACTGTTAAACCAGATTTAGAAGATGAACTTAAAAACTTGCAGAGCTATTCTGCAAGCTCCTTTGAAAATGTGGATGAAGTGATTGATCACGGTGTTTATCCTTTTCTTTTGAATCTGATACACCACATAAGCACTCCAGGCCAAATAATGTGGAGATACATTTTTTTTTCCCCTAAGAAATACAAGTGAATGGGAAGAGCAGAGAGCGTGATGTCAGTATTTCCATGGAGCCTATTTTATTTCAAGGCATGTTGCAAGGCAGTGGCTATAGTTTTTATTTAAGTACAAAAATAATCTCAGCACTTTTTAGTAATCTAGAAGCTATCAATAAACAGCAAAGCCAGGTTAGTGTTTTGAAGAGGAAGAGTGGCCCCTCTGTGACAGGCAGCAGCGAAACACCAGGAATCCCAAATAGGAAGCAACCCAATTTTATATCAGAAATTATTTTTATGCTCTTTTGTATCTTTGCATTTTTATGGTCAGATTTTAATATTGAATATGTAGCAAATATTATTTTGTTTCTTTAACAGAATGGGTATTTAAAGAAGTGAATGAAGTGGGTTCTCAGAAGTTAACTGAAATGTTTTACTGTTTCTGAATGGCTGGAGAGATGCAGAGAGAGAGAGAGAAAGAGAGAGATTACAAACTGTTGTCAACATGATGAAAATTTCACCATTCCTTTGCCTTTTTAATTGCTTAGGGAAAAAAAGTAACAAGCACATTAGTTAAGCCTCTTCATTTACTGTTTTGTGCCTCAGAGAGTGAGAATGAGACATCCATAATTTTTATGAGAAGATGCTTCCTAAATATTCAGCACTAGGAAAAAAGAAACACCACCGCCACACCATTATTTGCATCATAAATCAAGACTCGCTTGATCTGACAAGGCCTCTTGTTGGACTCGCAGCTTCTTTCTTAAGTGGAAAGCCAAAACAAACTAGCATTGCTCGTGCTTGCCGAAGCCAGGCGGCAGGCAAAGCAGATGCAGGCGTTTGTTCCAGAGGGAAGAGGGGCTTGGCTCTCAGGCAATGGCATTCAAGAAAGCTCTTCCCCTCCATAAATTGCCAAGGTGCTGCAAGAGATGGAGCATTGTCACAAAGAAGAACCTGCACTGGGTCCCACTTTTACTACCTACTGTGGCTTTCCCAATAGGGAGCAGGGTTGGGCTGCCTCGTGTCCGAACGCGCTGGAAGCAGCGCAGATGCAATCAGATTGGGGTGATTTTGACTGAGCATCTGATACAGACTTTCATTTCAATGCCAGACAGGAGGAACCCACTTACCATTCCATATGCAGAAACAAGAGAGTTGTAACAAACTTACATGTTTACGGTATTTCTCTGGCTGAATCTATATATATATATAAAAAATAAAAATACCCTCTTCCCTAGGTAAATGACATGCATTACCCCTTGACCTAAACACTAGAACAGAGGATCTAAATTCAAGACTTTCGCCTCCCTACCCTCTCCAAAAAGATCAAACAAGAACCAACCTAGGTGCATCTAACAGTTGTAAATAGAAAATAATACATAGAGAAATATATTTGAAATTTGTTTCAGTTTCTGGATGGTCACTGGCCATCCATTGCAATGTTATTGATAGTACACTGTGGTGCTTTGGGTTTCTGGTTTTGTTCTCTTTATGCTCTGTCATCTTTTCATTGCAGCTACATTTCAGGGAACATGTATATTTAGTAGCTATTGTAAGTTCTGCATGGCATCACCAAGCTTATTTTTCCTTAAGAAGAAAAGAAGAGTCTGTAGGAGTTTAAAGGCACTATGACGACAGGGACTTGTAGCAGAGAATTTAAAAAAAAAAAAAAAAAGGTTTTTAAAATTCTAGTTTGAAGCCAATGGGGTTTTAACAGTAAGAGAAAAAAAAAAAAAAAAAAAAAAAAGGATTTTGGTAACCCAGCTGATCCGCACTTGCCAGTTTTATTATTTTGTTTATATTGGACTGTTTGACCCTGTCAAACAAGTGTCAAAGTTGTGTGTATAAAACAAAAAAAGTGTTTAAAAAAGTGTTGTAAAGACACTGAGCCTTATGAAAATATTTATGGAATTAAATAAAAAGAAGTGAAAAGGCATCTGAAGGCATTTTAAATCATTTTCCTCAGAGCGGTCTCACTCTTTTCCCAAAGGCTGAGCACGAATTGCTGGGGTGGGGCTCCAGCTTGTCAGCAAAGCAGACACTGAGACATTCGTGTGTAACCAAAAAAATAGGTTTGTTCTGGAAATATCCCACTTCCCTCTTGCTTTGTGTCCTCCATCTGAACTGAGTGAAATGATTAATGAGTAGCTGGAGGTTTAACGCTGACAAAATACCGCCTTGCAAGTGCTGGCAGGGGTTGCTCTAAGTGGAGCTTGGATCAAGTCTTCTGCTAAACATGGTTTTAAAATGCTTTCTGTTACTGACCTTTGCTCAGCTCCAACCCCAACTTCAAGACAGCTGAATTCTCCAAACAGACATTTAATCACAAATACCTTGTGAGCAACATAAGCAGCATTTCAGAGCATGTGGCAGTAGAGCAGGGGGTGGGTTTTCGAGGGGAGAGAGCCTGGCCACGTGCTGCTCCGCTGCAGAAGGCTGAACCCGAGGAGATCAGCAGGCTCCTGCCCTGGTTTTCCCTTGGCGTGGAGGGAGCAAGTGCCCACAGGGAGAAGGAACCGGGTGCTTTACCCCTGAAAGGCAAAGTGCTCTCTCCAGGAACCCAGTGGCATTTCGCAGGTAAGACAGTTGAGTTGTGTATTTCTAGATAGCCCAAAAATGCAATTACAACCAAGAAAACTGGGGTTATTGCACCATGGCATCCAGACCTGGTAGTGGTTGGGAGCGATGCCTGTTGTCACATGGAGAAACACACAGGCACATGTACCAGGTTGCTATAAGTAACTGCAGCCAAAGAGCTACATTTTCAGTAATGACACTGACCTTCTGCTCTTTCCTGTCTGTCCTGCGGGTGCCTGTCTGGGTGAGTGATGGCCACATTGGTGGCACATGGACTGACTGCATCTTCAGCCCACACATATTAGGAAACCAGTCAGAGGGAATGAAAAGATGCAAAAGCCAAGCAGCTCTGCTCTGGGAGAAAGAGAGCGATGGGATAGAGGCAAAGCTGTGAGCTGCAGGGCCAGAGTTCGAGCAGGTTCAGGAGCAGGGTCACCCAGGCCTCAAACATAGCTTCACATTTGCCTACTGCTTCAGCAATAATCCAAGCCAAGCTTTTATCTCTTGCTTACATTGTTGCTCGCAATGAAGAGGCCGTTGGTGCCACGCTGGGGTTCACCTGACCAAGCGATCCTGTTCCTCTTGTGGCACATAACTGAAGTCACTCAGGAGGCTTGGCACTGCAGAGTTCCCCAAGTATGCTGCTGGGGAGAGCTGGCCCAACATGCAGTTGGGTATAAAACCTCCCCTTGAAGAACACCTCTCCTACCCACACTGTGGTCTTTGCGGCCAAAATTTGCGCTAATTGTGTCAGAATTTTGCATTCCCCTCTGAGTTTGCAAATGTGAGCTGTGGGAAAGGAGGGGGAGTTCTCAGGGCGAGCATGAGCCATGTGCATTGCTCAAGCTGTGTAATGTACCACAAAAAGCTCTGGCGAAGAGGGAATAGGGGAGAAACCAAATTGCCCAGCATGTGTGCTGGGAGCAAGAGCACCGGCAAAGCTTACGTAGGGGCAGTAACGACCTCCATGCCCCTGCAACACGCTCCCAGGCCTGGCTTGCTTTCCTGGCGTGGTCAGCGAGAAGAGCACTCCGTGCCTGGGATTGCCACTGCAGCCTGTCGTCGATAGTCACTTATATAGTTCATCTAGCAACAATGTTAGTTTGATTTTAGCATTCTCCAGCTACCGAGCATTCAGCCAGCTACTATGAACTTGGGTTGCATAAAACAAAAACAAAAACCAAAGAAACCCAGTTTAAAATTAATTTCTCTTTCAGGGTGCTAGGTTCGTTAGGCCGTATTTCTGGATAACAGACCAAACTGACCCTCCAAGGTAGCAGTAGGGGCACAGCAGGACAGATGTGGCCAGCTGATCTGAGACCTTGATTCAGAAATTCACTTGAAACACATGCCTAAATCCGCCATTTTGCAACAAAGTTTTTATTACCTACACGTCAAAGTACAGAATTCAGTCCTCAGAATGAATGATGACCAGTAGGGAAATGACTTAAAACATCTCCATTGATTCTGCCTGTTTTGATGGTCTGTCGTGCTCCTTCACCCCCTTGCGCAGTTTCCGAGCTGTGTGGCTGAGGGCATGTTGTTGTGCAAAATGTGTGGGGACGCCGGGTACAGCCGGCAGGGCAGAGTTGGGCCCTGGCGCTGCTTGGGAACCGTAGTAGAATGAGTAAAGCTTTTAGGCTCATATGTTTGTGATATGACAGGAATGTTGTATGAGTGACTCTATACATCAAAGCCATCTCTGTTTTATCTGTGTGTATATATCCATGGTATTACAGCTGACCTTTTGCTTTTTAAGGAATCAGACTTTCAATCTGACTGATTGTGCTGGGATTACAGATCCCAATCTACCCCAAACAATGAATTTTCTTGTTATTCTGTAGCTAAGAAGCAGCACCAGGTTTTGCACTAAGTACAATACCAGGTCAGCATCCTCCAAAGCGTGTAATGAACCATCTGTGCTGGGTTATTAAAGAACAAACTGGAATTGCATGTTGCTGGGGATGCAGCGGGAATGACTGGTGTTTTGAAGAGTTTCTAAGCACTGTCCACTTGAGGGTTTTGCAATCCTTTGCTGCTAAGGAAGGACACTAATTGTTTAACTGCAAATATAATCTCCCCAAAACTGCAGGTACAAAATTTAAAACTGTGTTTATTTGTCTGAATCTCTTACCTTTGCTATGGAAGAGATACATGGTATTTCTTAAATGCTTTTAATGTTCACATCCTTTTTTTTCCAGCTCTTTCCAGGCAAAATGCATCCTGGTGAAGATTTGCATCTCCTCATTTCAGAGCCACAGTAATTTGTAGCCTCTTGCAGGTTTGACAGGGTCTCTGGGCTCAGCCCTTTCTACAGGCTGGGCTTGGCAGCAGCAATGGCTCAAAAGTGTTTCCCTGTTCCAAGAGCCCCCCAAGGCCCATTTCCAAACCTTCCTCCAGCACCTCGGTGTTGACACAGCAGCCAAAGCCAGTCTGGTGGTGTGCACATTGTCCAAGGGACATGGACCACTTTCCTCTTCTTTCAGTACAGGTTACAGCAGCAAGAAAATAATCTCCAAGACAGGAGCACTGCAGGCTTTTTAGTTTTCATTTAGGAGAATATATAGAAAAGTTAAACCCTTGCAGAAACACTTGCCTCATAAAGAAAACATCAGTCCTTGAAAAAGTGCTGTGCTCTGGGGCATCTTGTCAAGTGTGTGTCACTGCTGGCTACCTCTGTGGCTCACAGCTGGGGAGAAGAGTTGGTAATCGCATTTTGAGCAGAGATGAGTACACACACAGATCTTCATACACACGCGCCTTCTTGCCCTGTTGCTATAATAGCAGAGAGCCCTAACGTACGCAACTAGAGACTGTCTGGCTTTTATACCCACTGTATAGCTGGAGGGGAGCAGACACACGTTTATGCTAGGATCTAGGTTTTTCAGAATAAATCATGGTACTAAACTGGCTTATAAATAACCTCTGAGAATTCAGGCTCCAAGAGACTCTGTGGCATCTTCCTGGCTGGTCCTGGAAGTCAGTGGAAGTTAACTTCAGAAAAGAAGTTTTATTCTCTTTTTAATACATGGAGAAGCAGTAAGAGGCTATATTGGTATCTTTGGTTCTCTGTAGCTCACAACTTAGAAAAGCTGTGAAGCTTTTATACATGAAGCAAATACTCAGAGGCTGTGGATGTGTGTATTCAAGCCTTTGCACGTTCATATGGAATCAGAAAATAGGTGGCTCTTGCCCACAGCTTGGTTTGCCCTGGCTGGTGATGCCAAACAAGTAACAGCCATCATCCATGTCAGTGGGGCTTCTCTTACCTCTTACAATAGCATCCAGAGGCTCCTCTGAATCAGCGGGATTCTTTTTCCTAGAATTGTGTAACTGAGGTTATTAAAAAAAAAAAGAAGAAACCTGACTCATGACTTTTCTCAACAGTCAGAACAACCGAACAACAACAACCACAGGCTTAATACAGGTGTAACTGAAAGCAATACTTGATCCAAGGGGTTAGTGACTGGGCTGATCCAGACTGGAAATGCTTGGAAATAGTTTAGCTCAGCCACTTAAAAGGAAGTACCTCAAGACAGTGATTTTTAAGGCAGGTTTTATATAGGCTGGATTGATACCGTATCACATTCACTGCAGAAATGTGAAGAGAGCAGCAGGTTTGAACAGTAAGTCATTTACAGAACTGGAAGTCACTGTTGTCTTTATCCCAGGAAGCCCTTTGTCACAGGCTATGTCACCATCCCAGGTGAGAGCTGGCCTGTCTAGGTGATGGTCTGAGCAGAGCTTTGTTGAACTGTATTGCCCAGGTCATTTTAATATCAATTCGATGCTGGCTGACCTGGACATTTGATAACTCCTCCACCATCAGTCACTCCCGTGCTGCCCAGGCCACAGGTTTTTTTGAGTTGAAGGTATTTTAACATGTCTTAAAGTGGACTTGCTTTCCACATATTTGTGCTATCACATTTGTTCTTTGTTTTCTGTTTGGTAGCTGGATAAATGCAAAGAAGTGCAATTTGCTGTATTTTAACTCTCTAGCTGCCAGACCAGTGCTTTTCCTGTGCCAGAAATGAGCAACCTTACAGCACACTCTGCTCCCCATCCAGTTCTCAGCTGATGTGAAAGTGTGCCCTTTTTACAGAGCCTCACAGGCCCAAATCCAGCAAACAAGACAGGCAAATTGCACTAAGGGTGTAATTGTAAAAAAAAAAATCTGTCACTTTCTGCCTTATCTGGCCTAAAACACATCATTTGCATTTAGCAATTTATTTTTCGGTTTGACTGGAGCCAAGCTTTGTTGTGTTGGTGTCCATGGCCAGCTGCAGAGGGACCTCACACCCAAGTGACACAAAAGCCTGTGGCAGTCACCTAGAGCCCTACTCCAACAGGTAAAAGCACTGGTGCCTATTACATGGTGGGTGCGGTGCGTACACATGAGGTGGGTCAGGAACAGGGAGGGTTATTCTCTAGTCCTGTCGAGGGGAGATGTAACCATGTTGCCACCTACCTTAACAGAGCCCTTATTCTACAGGCTGGTTTTTGAGGGAATATGTGACCAATGCACCGATTTCCTCAAAGTTTCACTCCCCCACAGATACAGGGCAGCAAGAGAGGAGTCCCTGGCCAGCCCTGCTGCTGCGGTGGTTTCATGCTATACAAAGGAAATCCAGAGTCTTTGGACCAGGAAAAGAAAATAGGAGCAAATACAATAAATACTCATAGCTGTGGTGAGAGCCGAGATGGGTGACGTGGTCTCTGGTTCTGCTCCCAGGATGGTTTGTGCCCATTCTCTAAGGACTGCAAGTGTGCAGGCTTCCCACAAAGCCACCACGTTTGGTCCTGCTGAATCGCTGCCTGAAGGCATCTGCTGTTTGCTGGTGATGGTAAAGGTGACTGCAAAGGTGATGCTAAAGGGGCTTTGACATGCAAGGTACGTATCCTGCCTGCAGCACCTGCCCCAGCCTGGATTCCGGCTGCGTGCGGTACTCACAGCCTGCTTGTCAGGTGTGGGCAGGATCGCCAGGGGCAAAAGCAAACGGATGGAGAAAACCACAAAATTCTAGTCTGCTGCAGGGAAGGGGCTGACGGACGCGTGTGGCCTGCCCGCTGCACGCAGCACCGGCTGCGCGTGCTGCCGGCTGGCTGGGGAGGTGAGCACGCAGCCAAATTGCTCCAGGATGTGTCATGCTGTTGTTATCGGTGTTGCTAGCGCAGTTACATTGGCCTTATTTTTACTGTCTGGATGTACCATTAAACAAGTTTGATTTTGTTGCCTGATTACAGATGAGTGGTTTCAGCCTTTCATACAATTTAGCACTACCCAGGGACTCGATTAATGACATCTCTGGACAGGGAGAAACAAGATGTTTGTTGTGTGCAGATACAATGTGGTTTTATGCTGGAGCGGGTGGTAACAACACTTACCTGGCAAAGGGAAACAGGCGGTTGGGTTTTCCCATCCACTTCTTGCACCTTGGGCATGCTGACCCCACTGATTTACCAACACATGGGAAACTGGATGGTGTAATTTGAGGTAGTGGGGCCTATGTTCATGTTGTCTCCTGGGGAAGTGAAAAAGAAATCAAAGCACGTACCCAATAGGCAGCACCCACAACAGCCCACATTCACTGTTAAAGTGTTCATACTCCCAGACAGACTCATCTGCATTAGAGACTAGAAGCAGGGTCAGGAGCTAATGGGGATTTTTACAGTTAAGAAATAACAGGTCCCTAAAAAGCCAGAGATAACAACCCTGGGGGAGAGCGATTTGGAGATTGCTCAGCACTGTTTTTTGCCCTGACTCTCTATAATTTTGTGGGCTTTTCATGGAAAGGCATGTTAGTAATACCCAGTCATGTAGAGGGTTAAAGGCCATACTTATCCTGCACCAAACACAAACAAAAAGCTTTTACTGGAAGAGAAAGGCTGATAGAAACTGCTGTAGAAATGCCAGTTTGAATTCCACTCCCACCTAGTTATAATTCCTGTGCTATTCCCAGGCTGGAGGATAAGAAATTCAGAGAGGGCAGCAGAGAAAGGGCATTGCCTTCAGTGACAGACATTATTTATACCTGCACAAACTAGCATGAACTGCTCCTAACAGCAGGCTCTGTTCATTTGGATCTGCTAAGATGTACGGCCACTGTCAGGTGTGCAAAGAGTTTGAAGACCAACAGAAATACTGTGATGGGCTATCTCTGTGCCAATGGAAACAGATGGTTTAAATAAATAATCATGTCTCCGCAGTGTTTCTATCCAAACATTGCAGCAGAGACCCTTCAAGTGAAACTAAGCATAAAAAAACCAGCTAGCAAAGCTGATCACAGTTACTGTCCCTGTCCAGTCTAGCAGAGCACTCAGAGCAAACAGCAGGCAGATTGCAGGCTAAGTGGACTGTAAAAAGACTTAGCAAATGAATGACACAGTAATGCTTGTCTAAGCAAAATATATTGATTTTTTTTTTTAAAAAAAAATTGTTCCTCTTGACTTATGGCTCGTATAACTTAAAGCTGCTCTCAAAGAAGCGTTGCTATTATTTGGCTCCTGATAATAGAGTTCAGTGCTAAAGCTAGTGAATGGTTAGACTGGAAGAGTAGGGTGGTGGGAAGAGGGTGTACATTAGGGGACATCGGTTCAAGCATGCCAGTGTAAGAAATTTCAGCAGTATTTGAAAGGAACGGAAAGGTTGAGGGCTTACAAAGTGAACAAAGCCAGTACAGATCGAAGGGAAGCTGGTGCAGAGATGGTGGTGTCTGCTGTAGCAATGGCAGCCTCCCGGGGACCCCGCACAGCACAGCCAAAGTCTCTTCAAGCCCAGTTAATGCTTGCCTCTTACCGCCCCGCTGGCCACTCCTAAGGGCCACTCTGCAGTGCCACACCAGACATTTGTAACACCACTGCTGCTGCCCCTCTCTGAAGAAGCAGAAAGCATTTCCAGCCAGATGGTGGTGGAGAGGCTGACATGCAGCTGGCCCCAAAGAGCAGCCCAGGCCCAGGGCAGCTGCCCAGCACCGTGTGTCCCCAGCCCATCTTGGTACCCCCATGGCCAGCCCATCCCTTGGCGAGCCAGCTCACCACCTCCTGCCCCCGCAGCCTGGGGACATGTCAGAAGCCATGTTCTCCACCTGCTTTCCTGTCTTACTTCCTCACTCTGTAGCCCATCCACCTGCTCCCCTCTTGCCAGTCACCCTGAGCAGCATGGCTATCTAGTCCCAGCCAAGGCCCACGTTGTATCCCTTTTCTCACAGCAGGCCATAAGGGAGCGCTGGACTGCCCAACCTGCCACACGTCCATCCAAGCTGAACCGAGCCCTGGCTGCAGCAACTGCCAACCCCAGCATTTCTGCAGAGCCTTCAGCAGGGCTCAGAGGGGTTCTGCTCCCACTCCTCTGCATAGCTTTAGACTTCCAAATTGATGTATATCTTCCCTTCTTTTTTTTCTTCCTTTCTTTTCCTCCCTCTCTCTCTCTCTCTCTCTTTCCTTCCTCTCCTTCCTTTCCTCTCCACTTTGCATTTTGTATTTCTTTTTGTATTTAATTAATTGCCTTCCTGCTTCCCAGACACATCTTACTAGTACAGCTTGTTCAAAAATGCGGACTTCTGTCATCACCCTATGTTCCCCTGCTCTGACCAGCACTGAGAGTTGTAAATCCTTGATCAGCGAGGTGATTCACAAGCTTCTCTTGCTTTCTACTTGTGATTTTTAACATGTGCTGCAGTTTATGAGCAAAAATTCTTCTTTCTCATTATCTGCCAGCCCGATGATATTACACAAATAAAGCTCAGTGTGTGCATTCCCTTGTGACAAGGACATTGCTGTAATGTTAGTGATTGGCCATTAGTTCTACAATGTTGTAACGGCTGAAACAAAGCCATGAACGAGTCATTTAAAAAGCAGCATTTCTTCTAGTGACATTATTTCTTGGGTTTTGTGTAATGGTGCCTAGAAGCACAGCACAGCTAGGGAAAGCACTGTGCTTGGGTGCTGTGTGCACACACAGACCCCCCTCCCTATTCATTTTAGTAATGATAAAAAATCAGCACATGAGACGTGAGGGGTGTCCTGACACTGCCTGGCCTGGGAGCACACTGCAACTTCTTATGGCACCTCTTATTGCCACCCATACCTCTTGTCACCTTACCCCACTACCCAGGTGCTAGGGTACAAGCTGTTAAGGTTGCACCTGAAGCCCAGGTTAAGGACACCCCTAACTTTAGTTGCTTGGGTCCCATGGATTGAGTCAAATGCAATTGAGAGGGCAGTAAATGGCATGATTAGAACTCTTTTAAATTCAAAATTAGTTTGATGGAGCCTAGATCCCAGCTAGACAGGACATCTCTGAAATATCTTGGGAACAATGGCCAAGGCAGGAGCACAGCAGCCCTTTCTCACCTTCTGTTGGTTTCAATAATTTCTCTTTGTGCTTTCCATTTTTTCCATTTTTGCACCAGCAGTCAGTGCAAGTGCAGAGAGCACCATATCGCCCTGGCCAGGCAGTGCCAGCCCTGCTTCACAGCCCCCTCATTTCACCTTCTCTCACTGGAGAAAGCAGTGAGACAAGGGGCCCTTTGGCTTGGAGAGCTCTTGGCTTTCCCTTGCAAACTCCTCTCCAGCCCACTCTCTGCTAGCTATCAGCTCATATCCTGCATTAATAATTGTCCTTCTCCATTTCCAACCGAACCATGGTGCCTCCCCACAGCCAGTTCTCAAGCATTGGTCTGTGCATGTCCTTCCAGACCTGGGGCAGGTTTCCATCAACATCTGCAAAGCTCCCTCCTGAAAAACTGGCTCTTGCTATGGTACAGAGGCTGCTCTCTCTCCTGCTTTTCTTCCTGAGCATTTTCTCTCGCTCTTTTTTTGCCTCTCACTGTAGCCGAGTTTCCATTAAGCAGTTGCAGGCAGGCATAGAGGTGTCTTATGAGTGCGGTAAATTAGCAGTGAGCCCGGCATAGAGGTTAAAACTGCTACTGCCAATAGTGGGAAAAGGCACCATTTATAGGAGTGATGGACATGGCTGCTGATGCACGTGGCACTTTGCGAAAGGCATCTGTAAGCTCCTGATCATAGGAATAAAACCTGAGCTCTGGTGATATAAATGAACAGCACTGAGCAATCAGGAGCTATGACAACAAAATGACAGCAGTGAAGGGGACAAAAAAAAAAGTATTTCAAACTAGATAGCAAGTAGAAACTCCCTTAGGATAACCATTTTAATGGAAGGGATGAGACTGAGAAAAACCTCCTCTTACTGCTGAGAAAACCTCCTCTTGCTGCTGAGAACAAGCCAGACATGAACCATAGAATCCCAGAATCATTTAGGTTGGAAAAGACCTTTAAGATCAAATCTATGGCCCTGGCCCATCTCTCCTCATTCCCTGGGCTGCAGCAATGGATTCCCCCCCACGCTTCTTCCATGCAAAGGTTTCTGTTAGCAATACTTCATAGCCAGCTGCAGGGTCCTACAGGCAGAGAGAAATACCACCTATGAAACAGTATGCATTGCTGGCCGTAACTGAGGCACTCACGCTGCCCTCAGGAAAGGTGCTGGAGCTTTAGTCTCACCAGGCAAAGCCCTGCTGGAGATAAACTGAACCAAATCTGGCAGCAGCAGCACAGGAAGAGCCTCCTTGAAAGCTTAGTGAAGTCTATGGGGAATTCTTCTCTGAATTAATCTAGCAAACACTGGGATCTAATCGTGGCACTTTTGTCCACATTATAAACTTGATTTTTTGACTCTTCTGCACAATCATCTCAGTATGAAGTCTCCTCTCAGATTTTGTTGCAGATTTCCCTCTTTCCTTACACCAGGCTCTCTTCAGTCTTGCTAGCCAACTCTCTCCCAGGAACAAGCCTCTTGCAAGACCTGGTAAACCACTCTGGGGATACAGAGGCCCAGATCCACCCTCACCTCCAGGCAGCCCAGCTTTCACTCAGAGCTGAAAAGTGGAGGATGAGCAGGGAGTGAGTGCATCAGCTTCTGCAATCTGCTGAGTGAGAAGCTGGGTCTGGGTTTTGTTCTTTCTGCATGTGATGCACCCAGATATTCCCAGTTTTATTGAGATTATATACTGACTAATCTCCCTTCATCCTCACTTCACTACGGTCAGTCAAGGTTTTACCATTGACTTGCAGGATTTCAGCCTTTCTTGGGAAACAATATTCCAGTCCAAGCACCACATGTATTTTAGGGCAGCTTTACTACTTACTGGTGGAAGAAAAAAACACCCTACATGAAGTGCTCCAGAAAGAATATGTTTGCTTAGGCAGCAGCATGGCAGCCTGGGAAGGATGGTATCTCAAGTGTACTTTATTGAGCTCAAAATAAGTTTATTAAAGGAAAACAAAGTCTACATCCAACAAAGACATGAGAAGGATAATGGCAAAGAGATGAATCCACAACGAACGGGAGAAAACCCCTTTTCCCAGATTGTATGCTGAAACCATAGAAAGGGTGAGGTGCTGCTACTGAGAAATATAATGTTTTTAACAACTAAGTGTATTATAGATAATATTCTCAGGAAACCCTTGACTACAGCAAAGTTCACATTACCAACGAAGAATTAAA